TGCTTGTCGGCCGACAAAACCTTATTTTAAAGATGTATCGCTAAAGTGTGACAATGGTAAGTCGATTATAAGAACAGTTGCGTATTTTGAGTTTTGCCAATGTATTCATCGAAAATGCAACAAGTTAAGCTACCAAAATGTTTTACAAATACCGCAAGATAACAACAATCTTTATGCCAATACTCAATATATTTCGCCGCCGTCAGATAAAATAAACTCTTCAAAAACCAAACTTAACAACGAAAGCAGATCCGTCAGAAGAATGAAAAAGTGCTTAGCTAAAATTGGAGACAAGCAGCAAGCTTGTTTCAAAAGAATGAGAGACAAAGAAATAAAAGAAAATGCTTCAGTATTAACTCCTTCTCTAATTGAAGATGAAAATCGTAATGGTTTGAAAAAACTTTGACATCCTTCAACGTAATCATTGAATAAACTGTTGTGTACCATGTATTATGGTTATACACCCATAGCATTAAGAATGACTGGTATATAATTATTCAACTTGTAATCAGTGTCTTGAAAACCACTTCAGCTGCTCGCAAAAACTGTTCGAATCAAAGCTATTTATAACTACGACGTGATGTATTTTCAATACGTTCAAAAATCAAAGAAAATGAGAAAATATAAGTTAGAAGCTATACATTAATTGGTTTCTGCCACAAATATATTTATAAAGAGTGTTTTTTCTAAATTTATTAGTTTATTTCTATTTAAATTAATTTACTGTATAAACTAGATGGAAATATATTATGATACCTATTCCATTAAAAATTATTATAAAGATTATAAAGAAGAAATCTTTTCTTTATTTTCTTAAATCCTAAGCTTTTCAGTTCGATCATAGGGGTGTAGCCTCAAAGCATATACCTGAAGTCTAAATATATGGGGAGGTATTGTCTTTTATTATTATGAGGTATTTAATGTAATTTTATTAGCACAGAAGATAAAAAAAAATTAAAGATAAATAAAACTGAAAAATATATAATAATATAATAATATAAATATATAAAATATATAATAATATAAATATATAACAATATAAATATATAATAATATAAATATATAAAAAAAATTCAAAGTAAAGATTAATAAAATTGTATTAATAATCACATTAAATATATAATTGTCTTCATGGAATTTGAAAGTTAAAAAAGAGTTTAAAAACACACACATACATATACAAACGAAAAAATCAAAC